TAATATAATATAATATAATATAATATAATATAATATAATATAATATAATATAATATAATATAATAACAGATGGTGATAAACACAGGACAATAAAATACAATGGAAAAAAAAAAAGATGCTGTTTCAGCCAGTATTAGTCCGGTGGCTTAAGGAAAAAATCGTGACAAGGCAGATAAAAGCACAAAATTTGGCATGTGGTTACCTTTTGACATTCTAAATCAATTTAGAGCCGTAGCCCTCGGGGAAAAATTTACAGTTTGGTCAAAAGATCCAAAATGGCTGCCAATTTGTGGAATTCTATAAAAATATATACATACCTATGTCGATTTTTATCAAATAAAGTATTTTCCCAATGTTTTCTACATCCTTATTTCCCGTATTATGCATATATGTCAAATAGCAAATGAGTGTCCTTATATTTTTGGAAAAATCCAAGATGGCTGCCATAGGTATTTATATTTCTATAGAATTCTACAAATTGGCGGCCATTTTGGATTTTTTGACCCAACGGTAAAATTTTTCCGTGGGCCCTTATTTGATTTAGTAAGTCAAAAGGTACCCACATGCAAAATTTGTTGCTTATATCCGCCGTGTCACGATTTGGCCAATTTTTTGCCCTAAGCCACCTATATCTTTTCAATACTAATACAATACAGGACGATACAACACCATGTCAAGATATGCTGGCAGTGTCTAGATACATGTTATCATGGTACTGGCTGATTATTTCATCAACCCTGTAAATTATAATAACTGAATATATACATAATTATAAGAAACACCAGTTACTGTTATGGAGGTTCACTAGTGGCACGAAATTACAGATGTTGACAGCACTGTTAATACTTTTCCAATATTCCTGAGGCCAACTGCACCTTTTTCATCCACTCAATACTCTGGAAGCAGTTTTTTCTAGATCACTTTCAAATGTTTTCTTCTGTCCTCACAAAATTCATGATCATCTTCCCTCAATGCAAAATTTTGAAATAGGATCGTTTATAAATGCACAATTTTGTTTTATGAATATGACGTAGCCACAAAACATGCCACACTTTCATACCTTTTTGGATACAGGTAAAAGCACAAGTTTTTGCTTAAAAATTAAACAAGACTGTTTATATTAAATAATTACGCAAAAACTTGGTCACATTTGAAGCATTTCACATGGATTAGTAAGTTTTTATGACTAAGATAAAAATCAAATTCACAAACATATAGGAAGTTCTTTTTAAATATTTCTAACATGATCTAACATTATCATGATAAGAGATGCCAAAAATGTAAGGTGTGGCAACCGTACTGAAAACCCCTATTGACAAGTGCCTAATATGGCAGCCGGGCTGAATCCTCCTCAGGGAGGTGAGAGCAACAACTTATAGTGTGCAACAGGGCCAAAATGACCAGGCTTCCTTTGAATTGTGAATTAAATAAATATATGTGTAACTTCAACCCTCGCGGTTGCAATATCTCAATGAAGTTTATAATAATTATTATTAATTATAAGACTTACCATGACACTGTGTCCCCCATTTCTTAAATTTAGCAATACGCAGGAACTGAAACCGCTGTCGACCTTGACGCACACGTATAAAACTGAGCAGATTTATCATTCTAGCGTCATATCACTGGGTTCATCTATTTTAAATAATAAATAAGAATAGGGGCCTTCTCAAAAGTGTTCCAAGCTTCAGATTTATACTTCTTATTCACTGGTGGAAAAGCAAAGGTCACACACATCAAGCATTTACCAAGGTGGTTTGAAATTGTTACAGGTTGTAAAGACATGCATGCTAAAGATTTAAATAGCAGGAAACTTAGACCTAAAAAACATCCAAGCATTTCCATAAAAATTCCATTTCAAATAAATGAGACACTACTAATTCTAACTGCAAAATTTCTTTGCCCTTACTCTAAATAGTGCAATACCGATATTTTTTCTCTGAACGTGGTTTATATTTTTGGCTTTGTTTTTTACACAAATCTTAAAGATGCATATAATTTAAGTGCGTTGACAAGTCAAATTATTGCCATAAAAGCTGGACCAAATGTTACCATATAGTTTCGAATACAATATTAGTATATACTTAAAAGTACTATCTACAGGGTTTTGTTTCATCATTTCCTTTCCTTGCAGAAAGTGCAGTTTTGGAGTCTTCCTTTAGCAGACAGAATGATTAATTCCAGTTATATTTTGGCATGTGGGTTTCATTTGAGTTGTGTAAGAAACTGGTGGTTGAAATTAGCATGTATGCTGCAGAGAATGTACATAATTTTGATAAGAGAGAAAACAATGCTATGTTAGTAAACATTACACAGTAGTTGAAACATGCAGGTTATCATGCAAAAAGACAACTGAGTTATTTTTCTAGGTGAAATGTAAATAAAAGAACAGCATGAATCCAATGATTTCAAGCAGGAACTTGATAAGTTTTATACAATTCATCAATTTCAATATCTTAATTCTTAATGTACATTTTGTTGTACATGTAATAAATGGAAAACAAGTCAGCGATGTGAGCATGATATACCAGAAGTAAAATCCAAGCAGATGGTACATACACCCTGCTGTCTTGGTGTGGATCTGATTTTGGCTATTTTCACACTGAGAGGTACACCTTACTGTAGTGGTCTACTGTGAGGTATCTTAACTTGTAATTAATAACACAGTGGGATTCTCTCCCTTCCACAACTTGTCTAGATGTTTGCTTCCTGCTTTTTGCACAGGTTAATATGATAGGATGTGTTAAGAACAGGCAAGAACATTGGTGACTTGATCCTCACATTGTTGCCAGGTTATTAGTAATAATTTTAATTACTTAAAAGTTGTTCATCTCTAAAAGTGACTTGTTTTGTTAATATTACCCAAACAAGATGGATATCAAATTTATGTATGAGGTGTGTATCAGTGAAAGGAATTAAGATATACCAAATTTGAGTTCTTTGTACTTGACAATGTTTTTCGTTCTGATATAAAACATTTTACATCGAATATGCTTCATAAGAAATAGGGATACATTTCATACAAGTACAGACTGCTAGACCAGAGAAGATTACAGGAGTGTTAGTGCACTGTGAAAGTCTTGTAATGATCCCTCTTAGTACAATATCAGTATTCATCTTCTTTAATAGATTGTATAATTTTGAATTATTCAAGAATGCTATGATCTACTGAAGATACATATATTGCACTCACTTGATCTTTAAGTAGAGAGGGCTCTAAATTATGATGTCATGTTGTTACCAAGGTGTCTAAGGGCTCTTTCCCACTGAAAATATCGGTCCTTGTAGATCGATCCAACTCTGCTGGACTCTTGCTGAATGCAATCAGTTTAACATGCCTTCTCCTGACGTTGATTAGAATACAGAAAAGCTGGTGATTATGTGAGTACGTTTGAAACAAATAGAGTGTTTTAATCTGTTGAACTGACTGCGTTCAGTGAGAGTCCCTGTGAAACTGGATCAATCTACGTACTAGTAGACCAATAGTTTTAATGGGAATGAGCGCTAAGTGGATGCCACAACATGTCTGCATATGTCTGTAACAGATATGTGTGATTATAAACATTCTAAATCATGAGACAGGAAAGTCTAGCTGTGACATTGACACTGGTTATAATAACACTCCAAATACCTGGAAAACCCATTATGAAATTTACTAGGTTGTCTTCTTATTACAGACTCTATATGGTACTATAACATAGATATTATGTTGGATTCCTATCTAGAACATGTGTCATAGAGAACCTTTTGGAGTCAGTTTCCTTTTGACATTCTTTTGGACCCCATCAGAAATTTATGTAAGAGATGGAAAACAGGACAAGTAAAACTAGTCGTTTTAAGTACATGTGTGTAGCAGCGGTAAAACCCCGCTATGAGGTAAACTTGGACATGCAACACTAACATTAAATGATGATAATCACCGTCTAGACGTTCTATGACCTAACATAAGACAGGCGTTAATAATTATTTACTACTCTGACCTATTTACCTGCCTGACCCGAAACTATCATAGAATCAGTGCACGGGCACCACAGATTTTTTTTTTCATTTCAAAATAGCCTAGAGCTGTGCTAAAATAAGCATATATTACATACCTTACTGATACGTGTAAATTCTTTAAGTAGATGGAGTTCTTGTGACCTCTTTCCACGTGGCTTTACGCAGCTGTTTAATATGCGTCCTGCGGTTTATTTACAACATAAGCCTTGGGAAATGAAACAGCATGAAAAGCTTTGATATCAGGTCACTAACACTGTCGACGACATCGGTGGATATTTTCTTTCCATCAAGATAAGCTGAGCAATAGGCAAATGGTTGGAAATTAGAAATCAGAAAAAGTTGTTGTAGAAACTATGAATATTTACGTAATCAAAAATCCTCCATAATAAAGAAATTATCGAACTTGGTTCTTTTTCCGTTGATGTGCTCTGTAACCTTTACAATTGAATCTTGCTAGTCTTCGCGTATGGGCGCTGCCATGTTGGATTATGGACTGGTCCGGGGGTAAAGCCTTTACAATTTATAAATGTTGATCAAATACAAACTAAGAATGACAATGGCAATGAACTTTTTTGGGTAAAACAATACAATAATGTTATCAAAAAACCTACAGAAAGTTTAGCAAGCGTTTTACAGGCGTGATATTTACAACAGATAAGAAAACTCCAAGCTTGTCATCCCTTCATTAGAAGAGTTTAGTTCACAGCACAAAAACATGGCATCGAAGAAAAAGCGTCGGGATGAAGATTTGGCTCAGGAAGAAGTGCTGACGGCGGTGGTTTTAGCTGACAGTTTCAATGTCAGGTTTGCCCCCATAACGCACAGGAAGCCAAGGGTAAGAAAAGAATCGTGTTGCCCATAGAGACGGTCCAACCGGGCCAAATGTCTGGAACAGCTGGTCAATAATTTTACAATTTAGCGGTCATATTTTATCATTATTCAGTGTAAATCCATACCTTATAAAGTAAATGTTTAGTTTTAAATCGCAGTCTTAGCTTTTAAACCAAAGTGCTGAACTCAAATTGAAATAAGAACAATTTGAAATAGCTAAATTGTATTTTAGAAATCCAGATTTGGTTAGATTGTTTGACCCCCCCTCGGATGTTGAGAGCGTTGGATAAATTTGCATTTATAATTTTCTTGGATCAAACCACAGATATTTATTATTACTATTATTAAATATTTAATTACCACCATGATGGTACACAGAAGTTTGCTGTATACTGAATACTTTCAGACTCTCCTTCCCCTGGTGAATGTCCCATTGTTGGACTACACCCTGGAGTTCCTGTGTTCTGCTGGTATTGAGAGAGTCTACCTGTTCTGTTGTGCTCATGCTGAACAGATCAAAGAACATGTCAGGTGAGGAGTTGGTGTATATTTTTACAGGACGCCATCAGCATGTAGCCATATATGACATGCTTTGTTCCATAATATATATATGTTTATAATGCTTTATTGTAGTGTTCTGGCTTACCTGTTAACATTGTACTTCAGTCTGCTTAGTGCTTCAGTGGTACTAAATATAAACGTTGCTATGCACTAATACAGTTATTATTGATTCCAATAGATTTTGAACAACCTGGAATATTAATATTCACACAAAAGCATGATTTGTTAGCAATGATATTCTGGATCAGAAGTTATGAAAATGATAAATCTTGAAAAAGTGAAATTTTGAGAACATGCAAAACACTTAAAAGTTATTCACCCTCTATGTGATGGTTTCTAGGAAGTCTAAGTGGTCCACCAGGTGTTCCCCGTGTGAGGTTATTCCCATAGTGTCTGAGGACTGCCTGTCTCTAGGAGATGCTCTGAGAGAAATTGATGCCAAGGCTCTCATTGACACGGATTTTGTCCTCGTGAATGGTGACTTGGTCTCTAATTTACCACTGAAGGATCTCATTGAGGAACACAAGTAAGTTTGTACTAAGTGTATGGATATTTATTGGTAGAATTTTTCCAAATTGAATTAGTGGATCCATTGCCCCACCTTGTCATTTGCTGCTGGTGTCTATTTGAGACCATGCGCTTTGATTGGGTCATCTCACCTCATTGACTTTGGTCTTCTGTAGTGTTTTCCACATATGATTGCATATATAATATGAATACATGTTCTCCTTGTAAATAAAAGTAGTTCCATGACGTCAAAGATGGCAGCGTCTGCTTACTTCATTTTCAAAGAAAAAATTCACAAGCATTGTGACAATAAGGTGAAAAATGTTTTTCAACATCTCAGATATTTGTATACATATGATATTTTTCTTGTTTCTACTCCAATTTCTTGTTTCTTTTATACCAATATTTCAAATCCACAATGGTTTGTATTACACACGTGTGTCTTATCCAGGGAGAGGGTCCAGAAGGTCAAATCCTCAGTGATGACAATGGTGTTCATGCATGCTGCTCCACACCACAGAACACGTTGTCGTGAAGAGGAGGTGCTCGTTGCCGTAGACAGACCCACGCAGAGAGTGCTGCACTACAGAAAAGTGGGAACAGATCATAAGTTTGAGCTGCCTGCTGTGAGTTTGTATGTTGTCCTCCAGTATTATAATCATGAAGACTAGCGGGTTGAAGTTTTGAATGGATCTTTTGTAGCTGTCCATACTGTGGAATGTTTTTACTTTTGGACTTTTCTTTCATTCTTTTTTTCCCCTCTATGGTCACAGACCTGGCAATAACATGAATGTAAGTGACCATAAATTATGAAGATTTTTACATAAACATCTTGGCAATGCATTTTATAGATAAAACGGGGAAAGTGCTCCTCCTGCTACAAATGAAAAATTTTATTTGATTTAAATAAATGTTCTTTTACTGTTTGAGTGAAGCTCCCTCTTATGTTGTCATAAATCATTCACATAATGAAAATATTCTAGTGTTTCCTATGATTGCAATCGCAGTAATTTTCTTGACATATTCCAGGAACTATTCCAAGAATTCAGCGACATCCAGCTCCGCTATGATCTCCTTGATTGCCACATCAGCATCTGTTCTCCTCTGGTGCCGCAACTTTTCACTGATAACTTCGACTACCAGACGAGTGATGATTTTGTGAGAGGGATATTAGTCAGTGAAGAGGTGCGCTTCCTTATTTATGTACTTCAGTCTTATAGATGTTCCTTGTTATGCAAGTTATCTCATAAAAAATAAAAAAGGTACTTTAAAAATGTATCGTCCACTGCTTATCTACAAAGTTGCCAGTCCCAGTGTTACTACCTACCTACCCTTCTGAAAAACAAAAAGTCCAAGGTCTATGTTTTTGGGCTACACATTTTGTGTGACATGATTAAACATCGCCAGTGGGCATTGCCTTGAAATTTCTTTGGCTGATGATAGGAATTAAAAAAATATTTTGATAATAAATACTGATTGTTTTATGTTCAGATTTTAGGCAACACCATCCATATGAAGGTGGTAGAGGAGGGTTACGCTGCCAGAGTGTCCAATCTACAGATGTATGACGCAGTCAGGTGAGATCACATGAACACACCCCCCCCCACCCCCTCAAGATGAGGGGATTATTTCAATAAGTTTTCTTCCTTATTTCCTTTCTATTCAGAAGAGGTAATAACTAATATTATATAGATATATAATATAAAAAATATAATATAAAAAGCCAGGTATTCTGTACATAAATTAGATTTGCTGTATGTTATATTTCAGTAAAGACATAATCAGCAGGTGGAGTTTTCCTTTAGTTCCTGACAATGACATCAGCAACAACAATAATATGAATAAATACAGCTACGGGAGACATAATATTTATCTCAATAAGGATATTACTCTGGCCAGGTGAGGCTGAATTTGTAGACTTAACAAACATTTTTCTTGAAAAAATTTTAAATCTCCTTGGAAATCTGTTAAACAGTGATGCTCATGTGAGATTTGAAAGTTGAATCTGTGAAAATAGCATGGAAATTCATGTTAGCACTCCTGTTTACATTTATTAATAGATAAATAAAAGTGCTTACGCATGAACAATATATATATATATATATATATATATATATATATATATATATATATATATATATATATATATATATTTTAAATTCTTTGCATAAATTTTGAAATGATGTCAGTTTGTTTTGAAACTTAAGCATCTTTATACTTCATTGGTATGAGACAAGTACGTAAAACCACAAACTGTACTATTCTGGTTAGATAGCTTTCTATGAGCGCATTCTCAACGAATTAAGCCAGACTTTACAAAGCCGGTGACCTAAAAATGGCGGACGTACATGAAAGAAAAACCGCCTAATCTTTTAATAGTCTCTCCGCCTCCCCACACGTCGTCCCTGCGGGGTACAGTAATTAAATCGCGTCTCCTTTCGCCATGCGGAAGCTACCTGAGAAAATTAAGTGCGCATGCTCATCAGTTAAACTCGTGGTGAAGAAAGCATGGCGGCTGAAGGCGATTGAAGGAAAAAAGCTCTTCTGTTCTATTATGTTTGAAAACAGAGATGAAAAAGGAATAATTTGGCCCGTAGAGCAGCAATGAATCGACTATCTACGGAGATAATATCACCAGAGATATTCACGGAAATATTAATGTTCGGAGCCGAGATTTAATTACTGTACCCCGCAGGGACCACGTGTGGGGAGGCGTGTGAGAGGCGGAGAGACTATTAAAAGATTAGGCGGTTTTTCTTTCATGTACGTCCGCCATTTTTAGGTCACCGGCTTTGTAAAGCCTGGCTTAATTCGTTGAGAATGCGCTCTATGATATATAATGTTGTCTCATGGCTTTATATTTTCTAGAGGGTGTGTCTTGCAGGAAGATGTGGTGATAGGGCCTGGCACTAGTATAGGCTCAGGGTCTACTCTGGCTCACTCCGTGGTAGGGAGAAATTGTAAAATAGGTACATATTTCCTATGAGAAAACATTTTCATTGGATTGGATCTATATTTAACAGATTTATAGATGAATATTCTTGAAAATTAGTTCCCTTTCTATTTCTTCATTCATGTTCTCCAAAATGTCATTTGCACATCAGATTGCAATCAATGAAAAAATCTAGCATACTCTAATTTATTAAATGCAAAAACATCTAAATTTTACTTTTCCCCTTAAATTTGTTATTTTTACGTGAAAATTTATTGAAAATTAGCCATAATATTATGGCTTCATAAAAATCAATCAATCCAAGGATTTACTTTATTCAGTGTACATGCATACATTTGTCATCAGGAGAGAATGTCAAGTTAGAGAATGCCTATATCTGGGATGGGGTTACCATAGAAAATGGAGTTTCCGTCACTACCGCTGTGATTGCCGACAACGCTGTCCTGAAGAAAGATGTTACTGTAGAACCTGGATGTGTGTTTTCTTATGATGTAAGCATAAAAAGTGTTTGTTAATTTAATTGTTGATACCAGCTGGCTGAAAACCATTTCAGTTTTCTATGTATTAGAATCAGACATGTTTTTCAGTTACATTTATTGGTGCATGTCATCAGTGTTTCAAACTTTTTGTAATTTTCCCATTGGTTCACTTTTGAAGTTCAATTGCATGCTAGACTTTCATGCCAAAAAGCAGCCTTTTGATAGGTAAAAAGCAAAATTAGTGCTGTTTCCAAGCAAGCTGATATTGGACAAATACCATTCCCATTACTTTGTTATTGTAGTTAAAGTACTGTTCGGTTTGTTATTAGGTCATTGTCATTGTGAAGTGTACTTTTGTTGAAATAAGTCAATAATAATAATAATGATTATAATAGTTACCAAATTCAGCCTTACTGTCTGAATGTTGAACATTTACATTGAAAGTAAACAAACTGTTTGCTTATTTCCAGGTAATTGTTGGTCCATCAGTTAAAATCCCATCAGGCACAATACTGTCCTCAGCTCCAGTGGAAGATGACGGGTTCAGTGATGAGGAAGAGGAGACAGTTAAAGGTAAAGATTACATATTAATTCAGTAATGTCACAGCAAAGAATTTAATCATCTGCTCTGTGCACCCAAACTCGCAATAAAAGATTGTCACAAGAAAAAAAAAACTTTTCAAGTCAAAATGGCTAGATCCAGCATACACCCTTTACTTTCAGACCCCCAGTCTGTAGGGTCAGTAGACCTCAGATATGTTTTAGGGAACTGTTTGAGTCAAATGCATCTCAGTCTGAACTCCTATAGACAATAATGAAATAATCTACTGGATACAACCATTTTAACTGGTCTAAAGGGTGACTAGTGACTTAGGTCCAATGATTGGACTTATTCTTTTAATCAAGTATTAATTGTTTTAGTCACTTTCCTTGAACTGGTGGCTAACATTGCAAACTTGAGTATTTATACACTGTGTCATGTTCTTACTCCCTTACAGGTCTCAATCCAGTACTGGTGGGTTCACAGGGCGTGGCTTATCTATATCAGCCAGACGCGGAGGACAGCGATAATGAAGATATAATACAGGACATGTGGGGTCTAACCATCCAATCAGAGGAGGACGATGCCAGCAGTGTGGGGAGTATGGGAAGCGATGAGTTGTCGCCGCCTTCCAGCCCACCAGCAGATGATATGAAATGTGAGCATTTGAAAACAATTTGGACCTGGTCACTTATAAAGATGAACTTATACATTGTTATCAATCTCGCTCTATTTAAACAAAGTAAATAATAGAAAACTACTTGTATATTACATATTCTAGTTTTATAATACAACCCTTATAAGAAATAGACTTGGGGACAAGATACACTACCTGCATGTGGTCACGGAATGAAAATTCTTCACTTGGATTTTGGCAAAATGTGAAGAAGAAAAGGATAACCCAAATTTGAATTAAAATGAACAATTTTTATTTCTTTTTCAGTGTTCTATGGAGAGGTATTGGACACTTTGGAAAGAGTGTTTACAGAAAATATAGGGACAGACAATACAATACTGGAGATTAACTCTCTCAAGTGAGTTATAAGATGATTTGTGCAATATTTAGATTTCTGTAAGAATAGCTTTTCAGATATTATAATTTGAAATGGCTAAAATTCACAATGAATTTAACCACATGAAAACACATGCTAGTAGTGGAAGTGAAATGGCAATTGTTGAAAGAAGAGGTTTTCAGAATTTTTATAAAATTTAATATTCTCCAGGCATGCCTACAACATCACCATAAACGAACTGAACGGTCTTGTTACCAAGGCAATTATCGCTTACCCACAGAGGAATAATAAAGATATGGACCCCCCAAAACTGATGAGCGCTCTTAAACCAGTGAGTGTTGTATTGATGAGTTGGTATTTGGACAGGGGAATTTGGAAAAAAAAGACATTAATTGAAATTTAAAGTAAAAATAATGATTATTTAAAAGTCTGGCTTAAGTGAAGCGGTACAATGCTGTAAATGAGCAGGGATAGTAGTTTGATACTTTTCAATGAACCCGTATCACAGAGTTTGTGTCACATTGTTTCTCTTTTGATAAGTCCACAAGTTTTACATGGACATCGGTATAAAAACATGTTGTAAAACCTACATTTATCATGATAATCATCTTAATTTTCCCATGTTTTGCAGGTACTTGCCAAACTACTTCCTGTCCTTAGAAACTACATGAAAAATACAGAATGTCAGCTGGAATGTTTGGCAGCGTTGGAGGTAGGGTGTAACTGGGGCCTGTAGTAATATTATAGGGATGTTTATGGAGATTATTACACATTCAATTGAGATTGTAAATTATATAAGAATATGTTAAATTTTTCCCCAAAAATTAACATAGAATCTTGATTTAACACAATTTATGAGATTTTTTTGTACATATCTTCTATTTCTAGTCCAATTCTAAACAATCTTGCATTGAATGTTTCAATTAGTTTTCTCATCATAAAATTCTGGCAGTAGCTCTTGCACCATATCATGATCTTTTCCTTTGCCTTGTCTGTGGACTGTAGTTGAGTTCAGTAAAAATAAGAATCTTGTCTTAAATTTTAGGATTACTCTATCCATCATCCCTCCACGGGCGCTATCCTCATGAAGGTGATGCAAGTTCTGTATAACGCAGACGTTTTATCTGAGGAAGCCATCTTGCACTGGTACGAGAACGTTCCTACAGACCACGCTGACCAGCACCAAAAAATACGGAAAAAGGTCAGTGATATTTTTTAATTTCATATATTTTTTTAAACCTATTTATTGGTTTATGAAAATTATACAATTATATGTATTTGCTCACAAGGTGATAAGAATTTCAAATTTATAATTTCTTTAATTTGTAGGAGAAAAAGAAGAAGCTTCATTTTAGCTATCTTCACTATACTGAATATGCCATTACCCATGCACACACACATGCACACACATGCAGTAAGGGTGAGATATGAACAGAAAAAGGGGGGAGAAATGCTCTTGGCCATCCTAAGCATATGTCAAGCCAAACTGATTGACATGTCTTTCAAAGGATTTTTAATGGGCATATCTTTGTTTTCTAGGTGGAAACTTTTATAAAATGGCTTGAAGAGGCAGAGGAAGAGTCAGACTGATTATTGAACATTTTGTTACGGGATGAAGAAGCTAGTTTGATTTTGATCATAAGTGAATTCTGTCATGGATTAAAGAGAATTAATTCACTGTGGATTAGAGAGGTGTATTTGACAATATTAACTTGTACTGATATGGATCAGACATGAATTCTGATGAGAATTGTGATAACAGTTTTATTCAATTGAATTGAAAGTCTCTATTATCTAACTGGAGGGCCTTAATGTCACAATTAATATTGCTGCTGAGAGCAGTGGCAGGTGCCAGATTGTGGTAGAGGAGATTTAAACACAGTGAGCCAGTCTCACCCCATTGTGATATTCTGAGGCATTAAATGAACAGAATACAGTGGTTTAAGGTGAAAAGAAATTGAGGAAAATATGTCTTGTATCACACATTTTCTGTGGCTCACTGAAGAAGCTTCCATAATATTAATATAAAATACAAAATACTTGAGTCACAGCTTCCCCTGTGGTTTGTTTTAAAAGAGTTGGGAATCCTACAAGATGGGGAATGGTTCAAGAAAAGATTGAAAGATGGTAAACATTATAGATGTTAGAGTCAGGTAAATCCAAAAATTCTTTCCAGGTTTTCCTCTTATTAATATTTTTACAACAATTTATATGGAACATTTTTAGGTTGCAACCTGTAAATCCATCAGTTGTAAAATAAAGATCAAATGTGTATACAACATTTGAATTAAATATTCTTCATGGCGGGCAACAGGAAGACAATATGGAAAATAAAACAGAAGCCAGGAGTTTTATCTGTTTCAATTTTGTTTATTTTACCACAACACTAGACCAATCCCAACTTGGTCCATTTCAATTCATCAATCAATCAATATTATATCAATCTTTCACTGAATACATAATTATTACTGATCCAATAATTTACAGATATCAACTGTGTTAAGCTAATATGTGACAACACTGTACAGGTTAAAATAGGAGTTGCCTCCCATCAAAGACACCCTCCCCCCCCCCCCCCTTTCAATAAAGTGTACACTTGGTTGTAGCAACTCTGTTTACAGAACATGCTGTTCCAATATTGCTATAATTTGGCATGTCTTTTTATTTTTCTGACCCTTACTTCACAACTGCTACAAAACTCGCAAAGACCTCAATACATCAACTGAGTAAGCTTCTCAATTTTTCCAGCATATGCAAGGGAACTATATTTTATTACATAACTTCTTTACTTAACTGATCTATATTAGCCCAGTAGCTACAGCAGCAAATGTAAAAGTTAAAGGATACTCTTAACTAAACACATAACTACATCTTGACAGTTATATAAGGTAATACATGGCAAAAGCAAGGAAACTGGAGATTATTACTGTTTCTAATTCACTAATGTGGCAATGATAAAGTGACTGGGTAGTCCTAACTTACTGGAGAAGTTTTTTTGGATAATCTGTGGCAAATTCAAGGAGACTGGCGACTGATAATATAAGTTCATCAGTCTGTTAAATTGACCTTAAAGACAACATTTATCTACCTTTCTTCTGAAGCTTCTGCCAGTAATTGAAATATTACAATAAATAAAAGAAGTTTACAATATATACACCAGACATTATTACTCAGGTGTTTGAATCCGAGTTTTTTCTACCTTTAGGCATCAATGAAATAAAAACATTGCAGCATTAAAATATTTCTAATGCCAGCATACCAGCAGAACAGCAAACATGGCAAGATTTTAAGAATAATGAAATACACAGGACTTGGAATTTTACAATCTCCATTTCTAACAATTTCAACCAAGTCTTCACATACAAGCTTTGTGTAGAGAACTGCACTTTAATAAGACTGCCTATAGATGCAATTAACCAATGTAAAAATATCCCCAAAAGTATAACCATTCACTCCCAATCCAAAGTTTACCTATGACATAATTATATAACAAGTTATATTATGAATTTATAATTACAATAGCACCAATTACATCAATCAAAAGTGTATAAAATTGCAAGATGAATATTAATACTATAATAATTACTAAAATGCACTTGTACAATTATATGCTATATATAAGATACTAAGCCCCGTTTACACATGGTAACTGGGGTCAAAATTTCTGCAGTACTAAAAACAAATGGCCTTCTGAAGTGGAATTCTTGCTTGTATTACTATCAAAAATGGCACACTAATTAATTCCAACAACACAATACATAAGCCCAATGGAATGGCTTCTTCTTAAACTTGTCTGTGCAATAAGTGAGCAGGTAATTTTTTACTACAATAGGGAGCTTAAAGCTGTGCACGTTATAGTTTGCTAAAAATAGAAAAAGTGTGTGGAATATTTGTCAGCACAAAAAGACATGACAACAGCACATACAAACTTTACAATATAGTTTAAATACCAAGAATTTAGTAAGAACCATGGCAGAATGATATTTATCAGAAAAAGAGAGAGCAAAACTAAAAATGCACCCTCAGAAATGTATCCTTTTTAGCTGACCTGAATAGTATAATTCCTGTTGTGTAGTTCCTATACATGATTATGCTGCCTTAACTTAATTTCAGTCACTTATTTCATTTTCTGACTGCTATAATAAATTGATCACATTTTTGGTGACAGAAATTTGTAAAAAATAAATAAATAAATAAAACAAAAAAACATTGTAGAAAATCATGATTAGACATTCCATTGTATCTGTTTTTGAAAAGCCTGGTAGATCATGTATTTTTATGATTCTGTAATATCTAACTCAGTTTCAGTCTTGCAGTGTATTAGAATCTCTCTACTGCCCTCTTACTATGTCATGTCACACGTTGTGGTTATGCTAAAACAAGGAATCTAAACTGACTGGAACTTTGGGTGACATTCTTGTTTTTAGCTGCAATCCATGTACAGACATTCTATGGCACTTCTTAGTGGATGCAGGAAGCAGTCGTATTGTAAAAAAAAACAGATATTTTGCAAGCTGATGGAATCTGTTCTTGAACCTTACAGCATTTTTCCAAGAAAACGGAATCGTTATGTTAAGAAACTGGTCCATTCAAAATTTCAATATGAAACAGGAAAAAACAATGATCAGATCATCTTTGTTAAAATCTGGATATTTGCCTCAAGTTGTAAGACTTATGAAGATGTTATAATGAATACTAACTACGCAACCGGGTGTTCATTTGCAGTTTAACTTTCTAATTCTTTTAACATCATGGACATTTTCAATACATGGCTCTCGGACTAGAGAGGATTTGCTATTACAGTTAATTACCTATTTATTATGCTTTCGTGCTTTCAAACAACAGATGACTGCAGTAGTCTTAAGTGTCCATTGATGTGACAGTGATTAGGTGTAAACTTGAGACCATCCCTACATCTCTACCTTATGGCCCTTCTCTCTACACGACAAGTACAAAACAACACAACATAAAAAAAACATACACTTTTGATTTTTGGCAACGGGTGTGCCAAATAATGATGATAATACTGGATGAATAAATATATTATAGCTCGTTTTCAAATCAGTAGACACCGTGTCTACGTCTCTCAGTTATGGAAGCACATACACTTCATGCATATGATTTTACATTGAAAATAATTTCATTTTCGCTCTGATCTCTCTCTTGGCTCAAGTCGCGGAGACGACTTTTCGTTAACAGCTGCAATCACAGATGTCAGTTATTATTGCTAACTCTGCATCTTCTTCTGATTGGACTTTCATCACTTCACAGTCAATCAATCAACCTGTCAATCAAACAATCACTGCAACCTGGCTCCTCCCCCTTCATCCCTTACATGGTAGCCTTGGCCATATATGGAAGTCCTGATCACATATTCTGACAGCTCAGAAATCAGCCAGAGTCAGTAATGACCAATAATGGAAGTTTTGACCAAAGGCGGCCACCATGTCTAGCACGGCAGATAAAACAGTGGCGAGTTGGCATTTTAAATGCCAAAGCCAACCCAGGGCCCATGACAAGGCAAAAATGGAAGCCTCGTTGTCAAAGGTAACAACAATGTGTAGCTATTCATCAAGAAAAATGTTGTCCGGCCATGCTTCCTCAATGTCTCTTCATGTGCAGGGAAAGATGGTCAGAGCGCGAAAATGCACGATCACATATGTGACACTTAAATGGTTTGTCGCCTGTGTGTTTACGATAATGCCTCGTCAGTTCATCAGATCGCGCAAACCGCCACGTGCAACCCTCCCAGGTACAGATGTAAGGTTTTTCACCTGCGAGGAAAGGAAAAATTAGTAGTTACTATCTTAGAACATGACTTTCATTAAAGAAAACACTCAAATTAGTGCAAACAAATCTTATAAACACTTTACTCTTTCATAATCTCACTTTAAAGTATTTCTGGCAATAATTCAATTACTGTCAACAACATTTTACTGACTATCAAGAAAGCCCATTAATTTAATTTAGGAACAAATATTTCTTTTTAAATTGGCAAAAGAAAAAAGAGCTAAATTTACCTGTATGTGTTCTGTAATGAGCTTTGAGGTGTGAGCTTTTTGTGTACACTTTATTGCAGCCATCAAATTCACATCGGTGTACTTTCCGACACTTGGCTTGTGAGGGTTTCTCTTCGCTGCTGCTACTGGCACCATCATCGTCCAGGGAAGATGGCGGAATGGGAGAGGAGGAATCTGTGGGATATGGCCTCTTTCTGGTTAGGAACCCTTCTCTTGCTTGGAATTGTCTGTACGACAAAAAGTATATCTATTATACAGTTGTTATGCATGAACGAGGATTAGTATTGCAAAATGTGAAAGTCTTTCATCATTTAGTATTTAATGCTTCTAAAAAATGATACTTTTGAACTAAATTTGATTTACTGAAGTCAATAAAAACATCGCTGTGCTTTTTTTTTCAAATAACTTAAGATATAAACAATTTAAACCACCAAAATGTGAATTTTGTGAAAAAAAACTTACAAATGAGCCTCTTTTATCCTCTGCAATGACAGGAGGGGGACTGAGGGGCCATCTGAGACTGAAAGAGAGAAGAAAAACAAGGTGAAGTTAAATTTCCGTGGATTTTTTGATAAAATTTTTAAAAATTAAAAAAAAAAATCACACACACACACATACAGTGCGAGAGATTTTGATGGTCAATTGTTAACTAAGTGAATGGCAATGATTGTTGATCTCTTTGTATACACATATCCTTTATCAGTTTAATCAGACATAACAAGTTCTTTTTCAGTATTTTCATAACTTGGGTCAAGTAAACTGAAATACAGCATTGTATATTATGTGCATGCTATTTTCAAGCACTTTCCAAGAAAAAATCTTTATTTTTCCAAATACCCAATCCAATATCTCCTATCTTTTTTTTTTTTTTTTTTTTTTGCTCTTGAGGTATAAATGCTTCTTTAACATAGCATTAACTTACATTAACTATTGTTCAAAACACCTTCTATTCAGACTTAACTTAGTTTTTTATGACCATGAACTATAAAACTCTATACAATATTTCAACAAAGCAATAACAATATTGGTACTTTGTTTATACTGTAAATATATCAGACAGTTTGAGTGTAGAACACATGGTATCTTTCAACTTGTTTCAACATTTTCAACTATCCGTTCCCCCACAACTCTTTTAAGCTGGGTTTTGAAAACTCTGGCATCTGACAAACCATGATTTAAAGCCAACACTTAATAGAAATGTCAGAAATCTGACCCTAAGAACCTTAAGAGTGCATTCGTGTACCATTATATTTTGCCACCTTTTTTTCAGACTGGTAAAACAAAATACATGCAGTCTCTGCCAGTTCCATATGCTACAGGCCAAAAAATGTCAACATCCTCTTTTTTTCAGTGATACAAAAGAACAATCTTCGCTTCACTAAGAAGTGACACTCTTCTTACAGAGGTCTAAGTTAAGGTATGCTTGTGCGTGAGTTTGTTCTTGTCGAATGTTGTGTATGTCATATGTTGAGGAGAGGAAGAAAGAAGAAAACTACAAAAACAACCTGATAAGAAGCTGCATCAGGAACATCAAGTAGACATTTGCATTTCACACAGTCACACCCAAGTTAGAAATGATCTATTGAAGCAAGTGTTTCTCACCAAACCGTCATGCCTATCAAATTGCCAACAAGCCTGTAAAAAATTGAACTATTGATAACCAAAGACTTGGCGACTGAAACCTGAACATACATGATTTCTATAATAAGAACTGGTTCTGAAATAAGAGCCAAGCTTGGTACAACACCTGACACAACATGGCCCAACCACTCCCTGTTTGGATTCACTGACCTTGAGCAAAAAGCCATAATGCCATCAACTTCAGAGAAAGAAAGGCAGAAGTTAAATAACTACAGACATAACATAAATACCCAGCTATTGACCGTGAACACACGACCCATTTTTTGATCTATACAAGATTGGAAACTTTCATTGTGCAAGGTAATATTGCTCATTTTTTTCTTTACCACTCAAAATTTATTGTAAACTTTCTACATATGTTTTTCTTTCCTTGACAAAGTCAATAATACACACAAAAAGGGAAAATGCAAATCAAATGTGAACAGGGATCTTGTTTAGATTTTATAAAACAGACCACATAAGCAAAGGCTTTCAACAAAGACATGACTTTGCAATTTCTTTCAAAATTTAAATACCTCACACTAGGGCCATGCTGAAATGTTCTGCCACCAGGCTAATGGCTGCCTGGGAGCAACGCGCACGTCGTTTGTATTTGAAACATTATCAAAAAATTGGCTTAGTTGATTCTATTCATTTGCCAACCGCACTAGAGTGTTGATTCAACATACCAAGAGCCACAACAAAGCAACTTCAATAACCACAAGTACCATGTCAAAACACTACCCATCTCATGTTTTCTGTTTTTCTTGTCTTTTTTTAAACTCTATCCATGGTATGAAATAGATGCTGGACCAACCATAATGATACCACAATTAATTTAAACCACAATGTCAATATATTTTATAAGCTGTTTGTCAGATGAAGAAGATTAAACAAAATAACACATTTTAGAACAATACTGTTGGCAATCATATATACAAAAAAGTTTTGAATTCCTTGAATACATACATCAGGTGACAAAGTTGCAAGCCTTGGGCAAATACAAGCTGCACAACGTGCACTTTTTATTTTATTGACCTATTGCAATACCTGCCCGTCTGCCTTGTAAGGTACACTGAGAACAAGAATTGGGGAACAACAATGCCTTGCTACGGAACAACTCACGTGGTGATACAGGATCCACACATGCTGGTACTGGGTAGCTTAGGGCCTCAAGGCTCATCACGAGACACATCACAGCCTGAGGCAATAACAGACCCAATTTAACCTAAAAGCAGGATCTCTTTACTTCAATTTGATTCCCTTTTATGAAAGGGTGTCTAGACCGCAAGATTTTATTCAAACTTATTTCACATTGTTTATGAATTTGCTATTTAATTGATCTTCTTTATATTTATCTGTGGGGGAATCTCCAGTATTTGTTTTCTGCATTAGGTGGGATTCCAACTTTTTAAATCTAATATTTAGAAAAAGTATAAATCATAAATGTAGAGATGTTATCACTTCATTCAAGTAATTTTCATGTATTAATAACAGGGTACTGTACTGAGGATTCCTCTGCCTCTACTTCCACCTTATCCCAGTACACTGCCCTGCAATAAAACCATGAGGATGAGGATTCCTCTGCCTCTACTTCCAACTTATCCCAGTACACTGCCCTGCAATAAAACCATGAGGATGAGGATTCCTCTGCCTCTACTTCCAACTTATCCCAGTACACTGCCCTGCAATAAAACCATGCAATCACTGCCATGATAAGCATTTTTTTCAGCACAGTCTAGCAGTAATTAATTCTGCGCTTATTTCTACTCCGTCCAAACCTCCTCCTAGGCACCATCGGCCTCCTTAATGACCCCATAACACCTGCACAACTTATTAATCACCGCCAAGGTGTGGTGACTTGATCGCATACCTCCAGTGGGCCATCATAAATACATACATATAAATTCACATTAATAAACAATTAAACCAGTTGTCTCATTTCCAATGCGTACTCCGCGTCCCCTCCCTCGCTGGTACTGAGTGGCCTCATTTGTCTCTACTGACTGCAATGATTTAGAGGCGAGGCGGTTCCATCGCTGTTAAAACACTGTGGCAGAGGCATTGGTGAGGTTTGGTAATAAAAATAGGAAATAATAAAAAATCAGGTTTTATGCAGGACTTTTAATTTACCATCCATTTATTAATTTATTGATGTATTCTGTGTCATACCTGTATATCAATCAAGTTAAAAATCACCTCAAATGGCAACAGAACATTTAAAAATTAGGCATCATGGCATCCTTTCTCCCTCCATACAAACCCACACACTGACAAAGAGCAAATAACATTTCTAATTTCCCTGTTCCTGTTTTTCTCTGCCACACCACTCTCACGCCTACATTGGGCTCCTCACACACACATGATATATATGTATCTACGGCCTTGTCTATAGCCCTCTGCCACCACAAGACAACTGTGCCAAAATCCCAATATTTGAGTTCTGCCTCTGGCATTTCTGGCTAGGCGGCATTGAAAGGATGACGATGCAGAGGAATGCTGGGTAGAGGCAAGACCCAAATGACACTGGGAAAAAACTCCTTTCCCTCGAGGATCAAATGAGAACAATAAAAATGCAACAATTAAATTGGTCCTAAAGACAGGTGAATAAAAGGTGTGTGCCCGTACCAACTTGTTCCGACTACCTAACATAATGGGAGATACATGGGTTTTAGGTCTCAGATACTAAAAACATAAATATTGAACATTTAGAACCCAGAAAGTACTTTTTTCAACATTTAATTTCAATGTTCCAATCTTAAAGTTTTTAAGTTTGTCAAACATGAAAGAAAGAAATTAAGTTTGGAACATGTGATTTGGAGCACCAGCTAACAAGGATAAAAAAACAGAAAGGAAAAAGAATGCTAATTTCATCAAAGTTGTGGCAACATAAATCAGAGGCAGCCATTACTGGCAGAGCTTACGAGGCATGCATACCTCTCCACTCCCTCTTCCACACCTCGTGCCAAGCCCGCGCTCTCCCCGTAACAAACATGTTTACAACCTCCTGCTTCTGAAACATTCCACACTGCTGAGAGCAGGACCTCCGCAAAACTAGGAACATTTGGAGCCAATATGGCTGACATCCACAGGAGCAGATGTGAGCATTGTTGTTACAATGAAAGTGCTGCTTTGAAAGCTCTATTTTTTACTGACTTCAGATANATCTGCGTTTTAGTAAGATTAATTACTCCTGTGAGTTTCATGACAACAGGCCTATCGGTTTTCCTTGAAATGTGTTAACAGTGTTGCATATATGCTAAAAAGTGAAAACACAGCATAAATACTACAATAATTGCCCAAACATGCTGATTTTCGAACTTGACCTGCGTTTTATGAATATTCATCAGCTCTGTAAATATAAAGCCAAAAAGTAAAACTGTCTTCCACTTATCGTGTTAACGATGAAAGTGCACGGCGACGGCGACGGCGACAGGGACGGCGACGGCGACGACAGACTCAGGTGATGGCAATATGTACAGACACATCTGTGTCTGTACATAATGAGGGGTTCTTCTTCTAGATAAAGGCCTTTTTTGCACCCTTAATTGACACAATTTTATTTGAGAAACAGTACAGAAGCTATATTATAATTTTGATAAAGAGCACACTTTTTCTGACCAAAAGGACAGTTCTTTGGACCCCCCTTCCCCTGTTAATTAAGCAATCTGTTTGCAATGGGAAAACTTCTGTTTGAACAAAGGTGACATGTAATATATGAATGCATCTTTCCCACAAGTGAAAAAGACATTGTGGTTTTGTACTTTGGCTCACAGAAGGATCACAAGATTCAATTAAACAATCCTTTTTCTTCTCATGACTATCTAAACTATCAAAGAAAGGAATAATACTTGCATTTCAGTGGATTAATGAAACCTCAGCAGGCATTCATATCAGCTC